TAGGTTTATTCCAAAAGAAACCCCAGATACAACAGAAACTTGCGCAAAGATTGAAGACCCCATTGGACATCATTTTGCAACACATTAACATCATCTGACTGAGAATTCAACTGCACTTGCTCATTCGCTAAATGAGGTTTTTCTTCAAACCCATCCTCCTTCATAGAATTGGACTGTTCTTGCTCATTGGTTAGGAGGAAATTTTCTTGAAGGTCATCTGCATGAGGATTGGACTGCCCTTTCTCATTGGTTAAATGGGATTTTTTTTGAATGCCATCCACCCGAGGATTGGGCAGCTCTTGTCCATTGGCTAAATGAGGTCTTTCTTCAGGAATATTGACATGTAATTCTCCCTTGGTCTCATCGTTGAACACTGATTCCATTGTTTCTTCCTCGTGTGGGTCTCCACCAGGTTCTTGCTTCTCATTTAACTGATTTTTCTATGGATATGCAAAACAAGAAAAAAGAAAGGATGTCAATTTCTGTTATGTGCTTTCTTGCTGCCATCAATGTTCGCAAAATAAAATGGTAATATCATTTTGATTAGGAAGTGCATCTTAGAGGCGAACATATTTTGCATTTCCAGATTAGGAAAAATCATGACTTGCTTTAATTTGTAACTTAAATTTATCATTTAGCTGCTGTAGGAACTAGGAAGGCAGAAACATGATATGCACTCTACATATTTGTATCTGTACTCTTTCCAAACTGATATACTTCCTTTCAAGATAACATGTTGAGCTTTTCATTTGTCGACTACAGGGAGAAGAAAATTTAAATCATGATAGTCCCATCAATCACTACACTAGTGCAGTACTTCAATATTAGTTGGGAAAGAGTTACAAAGTTGCTCCTTCACCTCAAGCCCTAGCCATAATATTTGCAAATAGATTGAAGAAAAACAAGATACTGGTTCAAACCACCCCCACCCAAAAAGACACGCACACACAACTTTTACGAACTCAATAGACCAACTAACTGAGCAAAAATGGATCCCTTGATCACAGAAATTGGAAAGGAAAAGAAAAGCACGTCTCGTCAAACAGTTACCTCAGGTGCAGGGCAGTCTTTAGCTTCATCAGCTTCAACGCAGGCACTAGCAACATCAGTTTCCTCAACTTCTTCTGTATTTAGCATTGCTACTGTTGGTAATGGAGTCAGGCCAGGTACCAGAACAGGACCTTTGCAAGTAATCATATTCTCTTTGTTATTTATGAATACAGGGATCTTGTCACTTAGAGTTCTTCCATTACTTCCGAGCGTGTTATCTGCTGCAGTCAATTCAATCTTTGCATGTGTCTTTGGCTCCTCGTTTGAATGAATGCTGCTTTCTTCTTTGGTCACTTCCTTCTTCACATTAGCTGTGAGATCCACTTCAGGATGAGTAGTGTTCTCAGCAATGAACTCTCCCTCGTTTACAGTAATCATTTCTTCATCCTTTGGATGGTTAAAGTTCTCTGCAGCAAACAATTCTGGGTTGGCATTAGCTACAAGTTCCTCATTTGGATGGGTTATGTTCTCTGCAACAGTCATTTCCTGGTTGATATCAACCATCACGTTCTGATTTGTAACAGTCATGTCTTCCATATTTGGATTAACCAATGGTCCTTCATTTGGATCAGCCATTAGTTCCTCTGTTATTTTCTGAACTTCGGCATTTTCCCAATCTTCCAAAACAGTGATCATATTCTTGGTTTCCCAGGTGTGCAGAGCCCGATCTGGGCCAGGTTGCCACACAATTTCCCCTGTAATTTCCTTGAGTATGAACTTGAATTGGAGAGCTTTTCCAACAGGTATATCCTTTTCAACAAGACAGAACAAATATGTCAGAATTCCGCAACCAAACATCACATTTCTAGATCTCCAGAATTTCCTTCTTACCAGATCAACTGTCCAAACGTGTCCATCTGACCAGGTCAATGGTATTGCATTTGAAGGGTCCCACAAACCAATGGTGGGATCATCCCCAACTAGGAGAAATTTCTCGCCATATAAGCACTCCTGCTGCAATTGGAATCTCACATGAACAGTACCTGGTAGATCTGAAGAGAAAAATAATTTAGAGAGATGCAAAAAGTTGGGAAAATATTTAATATGGATGACCAATGCCAAATGTACTACTTGATTGGAAAAAGCAAGAGCAGCAAAAAGCTCACCTGTTGCTTGAATATGGTCCTCTGTGTTATCACAGTCTGTCTGCACCGAAGAGCATTTAGGCAAGATCAGATTAAAGCAAATTTGACTCGATCTTGATTAAATTCGTATTGGCAAATGCAAACCGGCTATTGTTTAGATAGCACAAACAGGCAAAGATTAAGTTCTTTCTCACTTCCTCTCATCTTAATCTGCAGTTTAAAAGAGCTAGGAAAATTCTTCTTTACATCCACTTATAACACATCCGCAAAACCAGACCTCAAATGGACAAAAGCATTAAAAAAACAAAAACAAATCTAGAAAACCAGAAACTACAAAGATGAATAAAGATCCTGACAAGAAACAAGAAAAGAAACTTCAAAGAAAGACGAGAAAGATAGTTTCAGGGAAGGGGTGCATTTTTAGGAAGGCCGAGCTAGGAAATGAAGTCAGAGACTCCTATAGTAGAAAATCACGAGAGCAAGAAAAGAAGAACAGGATATAAAGAACGACAAGCTGAAGTCAAGAACTGAGAAAAATATTACTGGAGAAAAGAAATCAACAGGAGATACCAGCCTAATCCAGAGACGAATACTTGCGTAAAGCATATATCAAACCAAAGAAAATAAAGAATCCAATTAATACCAAATAACTACAACGAATCATGGAAGATAGTAAAACCAGAAGGAATAGATTACACAAGAAACGCATCAAGATCGAAAGAAAATCAAAGTGAAAAGAAATGAAATAAAGAAGAAGAAACACAAGAAAGTACGAAATCAAAATCCAAAGAAAGAGAAACAAAAATAGACAAAAGAAGAAAGAGATACCTGTGCATCGGATGAGGACAAAGAGCACGAAAGGAATCCAATCAGCTTTCGTTGCAGATCAAACGAAAGTGAAGAATCCACATTACTAAGTTTCTGAGGTTGCAAGAATTGAAGCTGAGTTCTACCAAAACAAGCTCTGGAACGTAAAGAAACGCTGTTAATACACTTCTTTGCAAAAATCCTCGACGATAAGCTCGTTAGGGCTTCCATCATAGAATGCTAACAGCTCAGCCTTTGCAAATTCTTCTTCTTCGTGTGTTGTTTGTTTGAGAGAGCGAGTGGAGGAAGAGGCTTCCAGAAGTCTTTTTCCTTTTCTAATACTTCGTTTTCACAGATAATCCTTCACTAATGGCTCTGGTGCGTTTTAAATAGGGAAGGGACCCGGGGTGGAGGTACGGATCGTGCCTCTTGTAGCGATGCCACGTGGCTAAATTGGGTTGGGCTGCAAGAATATACTGTTCCGATCTGTTGCTACGCTACGTTACAACTTGAGAATCTTCGTTCAACTAACCCGAGAATTTCAAGGTGCACTTTCTTGTTACAATACTCTCTCTCTCTCTCTCTCTCTCACAATTCTGCTTCAAGACTGTAATACGTGGTTTGAGATTTCCAGGCAACCTGGTCAAGACCCACTATTCGAGACTCGAGCAATCCTAGGTTTTCGGTTTTCAAATTATGGTTTTGGTAGCAGATCCACGGATTAAATAAATAAATAATGAGAAGGGTGCTTGTCTTGAATCTTGATTGTTGATAGGTAAGTTAGTTATTAACTGACTTCTAAGGCAGTAAGGCACTGTATGATCTCTGAGGACTCATAACTTGCCACGTGCTAATAATTAAATGTGAGGATGATGACCCAGCATTAATGGGTTCAACCATGGTGCAGTGCAAATTTTTATTTGCATTGGTGTAAATGGAAATAGGTTGAATTTAAAATTTTGATTCATTTTTGTTTGACTTTGTCTTATGTATTTGTGAGAAGTAAGAATTGGTGGTAGGAAGAGTGTTAATTGCTTTGGCAGTGAGGTAGGAAACAAGATGATGTGATTCCTGCTTTATATGGGAGAGAATTGAGGTAGAAGGAAGATGGTGCAAAATTTGTATTAGTTTTTAAGATGCAAAATTTATATTACAAATGAGTACAAATGAAACAATAAAAAAATGTATCAAGTAAGAATGCAAATTATAATTAAAAACAAATGGATGCAAAATTTAACTAAGTGCAATCGTGTGAGGTTCACATTTGCAATGCAAAACAAAAGAACATGAGAAAAGGTTGAGAATAAAAGATGATTTCAACCAATGGGGAGTACTATTGTTGTGAATAGCGGAGACAGTTCAATTAAATCACTGCCAAGCACTGGATAAGTCAAATGGTCTTTGGGCCTAAAAATTCTGACCCTGGGCTGAATTATCATTCTCTAAAAGTAAAAACCACACATGTAGCTATCTTTGAGGGAGGGAATTGGGATCTGCTCCTTACAAAGCGTGCCTGACAACGATTTTATAGGCACATCCTAATGAACATCTCCCATGAATAATAACATACAAGTACGAGAGATTCCCGATGCATGGTGGGATGCATCGGTGAGGTCGGTGTGAGGAGTAGGGTTGCGATAAGTCTGATTCAAATCCGATACCGATCCACTAAGAAGTGGATTCAGATATCCCTCTTGATCCTAATAAATCGGATCGGATCAAAAAAGCTGATTCGTTAACTTAACGGATCGAATTTGGATATTGATTGATCCGATTGTTGTGACCCGATCCAATCCGTTAATTATGAAATATTATATGATATATATTATTTACATATTATATATGTATATTTTATATATTATATATTTTAATATATTATTATATTATATAATATTATATTACATAATATAAATATAATTATAATCGATCGAACATCCGATAATACATTCAAGTTCAAATTTGAATCATGCTTTTAAAATTCGATGGATCGTTATCGAATTTGGATAAGTCGGATTTTCTTAACAGAGCGGATCAGATGTGCCCTTACCTAATAAGATACGATCTATTTGCAGCTCTAGTGAGGAACAGATCCGGTCATTATGGGAGGTATGGATTTTTCCGAGTTCATCCTCACACTGCATTGCAGCCGTGCATTGAAAACATCTTTCTATGAATGACAACATGTTGGTGTGAGGCGCATTCCGTGAGGAGCATATCCAACCTCCATTTATCCAAGATATTTAAGTACAAATGTGTAGGCCGGGGAGGCGGGGAAGCCTTTTTCCAGACCCACTTCTGGGGTTATTTGTCTTTAATGAGAAGAAGACAAAGGAGTCACGAGAACTAAAAAGATAGGGAAGCCTAGGGTAAAAATGTAAAATATAAAACCTCCCCAAAGATTTTCGACAATCATAAAAACTTTTCCTAAGGCTGTCTTTGGTTTGAAGTAGGGAAAGATAGAAAAACCTTTACAAACCTTGTATAAGTTTCCTTATCTTTCCCTATCTTTTCCTTCAAACCAAACATAGCCTAAGGTTTTACTTTAACAAAAACCTCCCCTCTAGTTATGAAAAAAGAAAAAAAAAAACTTCCAATTACCTTATTTCCATCAATGTTCTATATGGAAAGTGTTGGCCTAATAGATTAGTTTTTTAAAAATACCCATTTTACTCTTTTGCCTATCAATTCATATGAAAATTTATTAAAAGTCTAAAATGCTCCCAAAATAACCTTTTAACTAAAAAGGTTCTATAGGACAAATTGAAAAGAGTAAAGTTATATTTATATAATATTTATTATTAAAATATATCAACATTTATAATTAAAATACATATTATATATTAAATCGTGATAGTAATATTAATATTAATATTAATGTCAATATTTATAATTAAAATATAAATATATGTATTTGTTTCGGTTAATTCGTTTTTTGGTTCAATTTGTTTAATTTTTTTTTTCAAACTGAACCAAAACTGATATTTTTATAATTAAATCCAAACCAAAAACCAAATAAATGAAATCAAATTAGCTCGTTCGGTTTAATTCAGTTAGGTAACCAAATCTGAACACCCCTACTAAAAGCTATTACTCTGTTGCTTTAAACTGCCATTGGTTTTTATTTATTTTTCTTCTGAGTGATCATTCCTTTTCCTCGTTTCTGTATGAGAAGTTAAAAGTGTAAAGTAAGGTGCAACTCGAACGGGTTGGCTGAACGTATAACGAAAAAAACTGTGTAATGGGCCCGAACTTAATGTAGTTGAAATTCTTCAAACCAGGCTACTTGCGCCTCCAGTAAAAGCCTTGCAGAATTTCACTTTGATTTTGCTAGTTTACCTATTGGTGGGGTCCATAGCTGGATCCTAGAGGGTGTAACATCGATGGGCTCGGGATGTGCTTTTGTCAGAATTTGAATGGCCCAGCCTGAAGGCCCGAGCCTAAAGCAATGTAAAATGCTAACTCGGGTCTAGGGGTGTCAATTGGACTGGATTTGGTCCAGTTTAATGTGAGTCCATTACAAATGAACCAGGTCTAATTCAATCCTATGAGTATTTTGGACCGGTTCAGTTCAATGTCTGGATCATCTAATCTGTTCAAATTCATTTCAAACCCAGTCCATTGATACTTATATTTTTATCTTATATCAATGGACATGAAATTGGCTTAATCCAATGGAATCCAATATAAACTTATTATGGACGGACCAGGTTCAGTCCAATCTAATAAATATTTTGCACTGGATTAGTCCAATCCAATATGTCTTGTGGGTCTGTCTAATCCATCCAAATTGATTTGGACTGAACCCCGTCCAGTCCAAAACCAATCCATTGACACCCTTACTCGGGCCAACCTGACTTGCATCCCTACTTGGGCATTTGTTGAATTGGGCGTCTTGATCCATGTGGACTATGATGAATGTTAGCCTATTGCTATATCTGATCCATAAAGTTGAAAAGCTATTTGGACTAGCGGTGCAATTTGGGCAGGTTGGGTTGAGTTGGATTGAGTGCCAATTCATGCCCAATCCTAAGCCTTAGACCTTGAGCTCGGAGCTGGCTCAAACTGTAGTCAAGCTTGAATTTAACAACCCTGGCCGGACCAGACTTAATTCAACAACATCTAGGTTTGGTCGGTCTAGTTGGGTTTGGAAGGATTTTATAAATATAATTAGAAAAAGATTCCATTATACTAGGGTGCAAATGGATCGGACAATGATCCGATCTGATCCAAGATCTGATCTTATTTGGTTGAATTCAAATCATCCCTGTTCAGATCTTCGGATCGGATAATAGGATCCAATCAAAAATAGGACCGAATTCGAATTACTCCTATCTGATCTGATATATATTATATATTTATAAATATATTATTTATATTATATTTTTATAAATTTGTTATTGATGGTGTGTGATCTAGTGCTCCCTGTTGGTAGACAACTCTAACGTCGAACTGAGTAGGTTGCTTCACTTGTTTGTTCGAGCTGCAAGAAAGTGATGTTTAGAGTGTCCGGGTTGCTTTATCTAGGGTGGGCACTCCGACACTTAAGTCATCGTAGAGTTTTGAGAGAGTTAAAAAGAGAGAGAGCTAGAGAGCTAGCTGTGAATGCTAAATCACACATACCTTATCTGATAATTGTGATGTCTTTATATAGTGCAGGTTGTCGTGGGCTTCACGTTGCACGCCCGAGATCTCAGGGGGGACGTGACTTGTCGGCCCACCTCGCTCGGAGGCGATTTTCGCGTAAAGCGATAGAGCTCACCTGGTTGCCTTTGAAGTGGGCGGGGAAGGAGTTAGTTCCATTGATGGGGTGACGTGTTCCCGAAAGATTCGGAGACAATAGCCCACTCATGATGTGTAGGTCCCAAGTTCAACCCTATAATGGCCGACCTAGTCCTGTAATGGACGACCTAGTCCTGTGATGGGCGACCTGGTCCTGAGATGGCTGACTTGGCCCTATGATGGCCGACCTGGTCCTAAGATGGTTGGCTTGGTCCTGTGATAGGCGACTGGTTCTCAGATGGCCAACCTAGTCTTGTGATGGGCGACCTAGTCTTGTGATGGTCGATCAGGTCATGTGATGATTGACTTGGTCTTGAGATTGTTGACTTGGTCTTGGGTCGGGGTGCCTACATGACACTAAGGTGTTAAGCAACAGTTCAGGGCTGCCACATGGCACAATGTCACTAGAGGGCCAAATCACCCCTCATCAATTATATTATTTATTTATTTTTATAAAAAACATGTTTATATATGATAAAAATAATAAAAATATACTTGTGTTTTTTGTTTTTACTTTATTTAAATTAGTATATTTTAATTTTCTTTTAATAATTTATTAAT